AAAGTATCATAGGTTTATTCAAAACCCCACACAAATCCATTTGTAAGTAAATGATGTGAAATGGCATTGTAATGGATGGCACATAGCTTTAAATTGATTTCCTTTGATGTGATAAAATCGTCTTATAAAAGAAATGTTGAATCTGGTCTTTTGATGGAAAATAAAATAATTTAGATTTTAAAGTAGAAAATCTTTTAGTGATAGTAGATTATTTGATTCAATACAATGTGCCAAATATTATTCACTATAGGTTATAAATTAGCTTTGAACCAAGTATAATTCATGAATCATTACTTATGACTGATTAATCAAAACGTCACTAATTGCAATAATACAATGACCTCGAAGGGAATTATATCTAGAAAAAAAGAGCATGAACATAAGAAGGATGTATGAAAGGAATAAACATTGTCTTTAGCACTTAATTTTTAAGGTGTGTTAGAGGTATGCTCTATATTATTTGCCATAGGCAGTAACTTGTAGGATGTGATAGTCTTATGACTTTGGAGTGAATAGCAATGTTACCTTTCACAGAGGGTAAAAATAAAAGGGTGAAATAAGGTTCCCAGTTTTAATGACACTGAGATTCACAAATGGCTATAAGATATATTCAATGTTAAGGATTCACTATTAAGAAATCTACTGTAGAGAAGATGTGGAATTACCGAAGCAGTAGTATCACACATCTTTAATCCCAGCCTTCTGGAGACAAAGATAAGCAGATATTTGTGAATTCAAGACTAGCCTGGTCTACAAAGGGAGTTTCCAAACAGCCACAATTACATAGAAATACTTTATCTTAAAACAAACAAACAAACAAACAAAAAGTGTAAAAGAAAATAAAAGGAAATTATGGCAAATAACAGAATAAGGACTTACGCTGGTATTTATTATCAAACTATACTGCTACAGTCCCTAGGATTATAAGGGATCACAGAATGGGGGTGAAAAAGCTGAAAGAGGAAAGTGCCCTGAGATATCAACCTTATAAAAAGCATGAGTTGGTTTATAAATAAATGACTTTACAATAAAACTTTTTAATCTCAATAACCTCAAAGAAGTGTATATTGTTGAAAAGGAAGTCATATGTCAAAACTGTTCTAAACAACAGATTACAAGCTTACAATAGTCAAGATCATTGAAGGTTATAATACTAAAACTGTAAATTAACAGAATTCAAAATACTCATTTGTAACAGTTCTTTGGGAATTATATATATCTTCTTTTCATCATATTAACTATCCTTTTCCAAACTCTTCCCAGATCTGCATGCTCCTTCCATTCTCAACCAATTGTGACCTCTCCATCAAGATCAATTGTGTTACTAAATATTCTAGGATGCATGATCTTTCATTGTACTGTGGTAGAAGTGCCAGGAGCTGCACATGTAGAGAAAACTCATCCTTCCTCCCCAGAAGCTAACACTATTGTAAATAGGTCCTGGGATGTTGGGAAATTTCATGCTCAACTTCTCTCTCTGTGATGGGATTTGGTCGGGTTTGGGCTAGCACAAGTCTTGTGCATTCTGTCACAGTCAATTTCCATTCATATATGTACTTCTCTGCTATGTCCAGAAGACACATTCTCCATGCAATCATATGCTATCTCCAGCTCTTACAGTTTTTCTCCTTATGCTCTACAATAATCCCTGATTCCTTGGAAGTAGAGTGCAGTATACATGTTCCATTTTAGACTTGAAATTCTACAGTCTCTTATTCTCTATACCTTGTCCAATTGTGGATCTCTGTATTGATCAATACTGCAAATGTAGTTCTCTGACAAGGACTGAAAGATGTCTTAATCTATTGATATAGTGATGAGTCTTTCACAGTTGGTTTAATGTTGTGTCATTTTAACAGAATGAATGGATCAGGTTTCGGTTCTAGGTTGTATGATCTGTCTAGCCATATGTGCTTGTGATAATAGTGCAAGGAATCGTGTGGAATGGACTTAAGTTTAATCAGAGAATGACTAGTTATTCCTATGACATTCAAACCGCTAATGCAGAAACTGGGCATGCTTAAGAGGTGGTTTTGAAGGCTTTGTTTAAATTTACAGAAAGAGATAACTCACAGATTGACCCAGCATATTTCTCTATTTATCCCTGTGACAAACTACACCACAGCAATTTCAGGAGCAACAGTTATTTTAGCTCAAAGTTCCACAGCATGGAGGAAAACCTGCTATATACAACATTAGGAATAATCTGATCTGTAGTGTCAAAAGCCTTAGGATGCTTTCTTAAATCTGTGGCTGATGCATGTTCCATTTACTATAGTAGAGCTCTACCTCCCAAGGTCCCAAAGCCTCTTCAAACAGTGAAGATAGCTGGTATGTAAGTAGCACTTGCAAGTACAGTCTTGTCTTCATAAAGCTGGGGCAATAAGACCCATCCAGTCTACTCCTCAGCTTCAATAAAGAGTCAGGCAAGGTTTTAAAGGGAAGGTTCTTCTGTGGTTGTTCTTGGATGTGAAGGATAACAAGTAAAGTGAGGTCTGCAAATAAAAAAAAAAAAGGATTTCTAAGCATGGTTTCTATAGGAGAAGGCAGAATCATTCTCAGGATAGCTGGAGTCTGAAAGACCATAGATAGGGTGAAGCAAAAAAGCATGTGTGGTTCAGAAGTAGATAATTTTAATCCTTTGTGCAGACTATAGTCAAAGGGTTCCCTCTGCTATTTGTTACTAGTTCTTGAACTGAATAAGGCAAAAGGGTGGTGGTCATAAGGGACCTGTCTTAGTCCAGAAATTTCAAGGTCTTAGGAGCAGTAGTCTTTCTGTGATTAACAAAGATCCTGAACACCAAACTATGAAGACAGGTACAGTAATTATATTAGATTGTATCATCTTATATATGAAAATAATCACTAGTTAGATATTACATATTCTCTGCACTTGTATCAATATCATGTTTCCAGCCCAACTACATCAGTTGTGTTTGTAATAGGCACATGAGAGACTGTCACATAGGGCCTCTCTGTTCTCTGAGAGAATATAGATGAACCTATTCTGTATCTTTCCTTCAGTCACCTATAACAGGGGAAACATACTGTGACCTGGATATACTGGGTCATTATATACACCTCTTGTCTTAGCTCATGCTGATACTTTTACTCCAAATACTCCTCTTTCTTTTATCCATCAACTACTATAGAACCTGGGAAATGTGACCTTCTTCTTTAAATGCTCCTCTCACACATCAATTTTTCAGCAGTGTGCTACTCTGGCATTAGGGCCTGGTGCCAATATCTTATCTCATAATGAAAAGCATGGATTGTTTTACACATCTATTCCCCTGTTGTCTCACCATTTAACTCACATTTCCTCAGGGATATGGGTTTCATTCTTCATCTTTTTGTATCCAGTACAAATCAAGTTGTCTGGCTGAGAAACAACAGAAGTAGAAACAATGATAATAATATCAATGTCTAATATTTACTCAGTTTTCACAGTGTGGGAGTTAGCATTTTAAATTCTTAATCTGCATTAACTAGATTGCCTGAAGATTCCTTGACAAATGCTGCTATTTCCTTTTAATGGGTGTGAGACACTGAACTACAGGAAGTATATGTAACTTGCCCAATGTTGTGCTTAGTATAGGCTAAGTTTATCTACTTTTAATTGGAATGCAGTGAAATTCTTACCCCTTCCTTTCTTTCCTTCCAAAAGGTTAATAGAAACAACAGATTAAGAAGAGAGTTTGGGATGTATTCCATACAGACATGATTCATGATCAGCCAGTTCAGTTGATGAAATATTCTTAGAAGTTGCTACTTGGAAATAATGCAAGAAATAAATTATTTTATTTTCCCAAATGTAAAAACAGTTCATAATAATATATGCACAAGGTAATAATAATGTTGCACAACTTTTTCCTGTAATCAAACTTTATGTTTATCAAAGGAACTTAGCTGGTGACCCCTCCCCCAATAGGTATCAATCAGCAGGCTAAATTATAATGACATATATGAATCTCTATGGAAGCTCATACTCAAACATACAACCCCCTGTTAGTCCTTTCTCACAGAAAGCATGAAATAAGTTGCTCTTTGCTTCCATCAGAAGCTACTCTCAGGAGAAATTGTTTTAAATATATTAATTCTGAAACATATTATGTGCTGATCGTTGTTCTTTACCAGTATGTTCACAAGATTCTGATAACTCTGGGTCCTGGTTGCACACTTTGACTGTACAACTTCTTGCATGTTTTTTCTTTCTTTTTTTCTCCTATGTGTCTTATTCTTCAAAGGGGAAAGAACAGTGCCCTTCTCAGAGGAGGGCTTCAAATATTGGAAAAGTTACTTGGCACTGACAGTGGAATACATCATGTGCAGTTGTGTACCTGATAACAAGTTTAACATTTCTGTTCTTGGTTAATGGCTAGATGTAGCCAATTTAAAATTTTTAATAATTTTTTAGCAAGGCACCATGCAATTTACCTTTTCATTAGATATCAGAAATTAATTACATTTTCCTGAATTGCATTGTTTATTAATTCTGTAGCCCATGGTATCTGCCATTTTGGGTGGTTTTCAAGAGTATGTTTTTTCTTGATAATTTTGCATAGGAGGTTTTGGTTGGCTGGGCATAGACCCTGATTACCATCTTCTGTGTATTTCTTGTCTGAGATGGACACTGAAGCAAAAGATGAAGTAATCATCACATACACCTTGGTGCATTTGGCATCTACATAGTTGGAGGTTGGTAAGCACTACACCAGCGACTTCTTCCTTAATGTTCCATTTGTCTAGGATTAAACATCTGTATTGGATGCAAATGGTGAATCATTGCTAATTTGGATTACTGAAATCTTTCTCTGTAAATATTGACAATGTATTGCCAACCCGCAGACAGCTATTAAATTTGTTTACCATGAAGGCTACTACATATTTTGCCTGTTAATTTTGCCAACAATGACCTTAGCTCATAGATAGGTAACCAACAATACTCTAGGAAGAAATTTAAAGAAGTAATAACTATTTTCGTTTCCATTGTTTTTCAGACTATTTGAACTCCAGAAGGACCAACACCAGATAAATTATGAATGTTGAACAAGATGACCTTACATCCACAGCAGATAATGATAGGTCCTAGGTTTAACAGGGCCCTATTTGACCCCCTGCTTGTGGTGCTGTTGGCTCTTCAACTTCTTGTGGTGGCTGGTCTGGTTCGGGCTCAAACCTGCCCTTCAGTGTGCTCCTGTAGCAACCAGTTCAGCAAGGTGATTTGTGTTCGGAAAAACCTTCGTGAGGTTCCTGATGGCATCTCCACCAACACTAGGCTGCTGAACCTTCATGAGAACCAAATCCAGATCATTAAAGTGAACAGCTTCAAGCATTTGAGGCACTTGGAAATCCTCCAGTTGAGCAGGAACCATATTCGAACCATTGAAATCGGGGCCTTCAATGGTCTGGCGAACCTCAACACTCTGGAACTCTTTGACAATCGTCTTACCACCATCCCGAATGGAGCTTTTGTATATTTGTCTAAACTGAAAGAGCTCTGGTTGCGGAACAACCCTATTGAAAGCATCCCTTCCTATGCTTTTAACAGAATCCCTTCTTTGCGCCGCCTAGACTTAGGGGAATTGAAAAGGCTTTCATACATCTCAGAAGGTGCCTTTGAAGGTCTGTCTAATTTGAGGTATTTGAACCTTGCCATGTGCAACCTCCGGGAAATTCCTAACCTCACGCCGCTCATCAAACTAGACGAGCTAGATCTTTCTGGGAACCATTTGTCTGCAATCAGGCCTGGCTCTTTTCAGGGGTTGATGCACCTTCAAAAACTGTGGATGATACAGTCGCAGATTCAAGTGATTGAACGGAATGCCTTTGATAACCTTCAGTCACTAGTGGAGATAAACTTGGCACACAACAATCTAACATTACTGCCTCATGACCTCTTCACACCCTTGCATCATCTAGAGAGGATACACCTTCATCACAACCCATGGAACTGTAACTGTGACATCCTGTGGCTCAGCTGGTGGATAAGAGACATGGCCCCCTCCAACACAGCTTGTTGTGCCAGGTGTAACACTCCTCCGAACCTGAAAGGGAGGTACATTGGAGAGCTGGACCAGAATTACTTTACATGTTATGCTCCTGTAATTGTGGAGCCCCCCGCAGACCTCAATGTCACTGAAGGCATGGCAGCTGAGCTGAAATGTCGGGCATCTACGTCCCTGACTTCCGTATCTTGGATTACTCCCAACGGAACAGTCATGACCCACGGGGCATACAAAGTGAGGATAGCTGTGCTCAGCGATGGTACTTTAAATTTCACAAATGTAACTGTGCAAGACACAGGCATGTATACATGTATGGTGAGTAATTCTGTTGGCAACACCACTGCTTCTGCCACCTTGAATGTTACTGCGGCAACCACTACTCCATTCTCGTACTTTTCAACTGTAACAGTAGAGACTATGGAACCTTCTCAGGATGAGGCACGGACCACAGATAACAATGTGGGCCCCACTCCAGTGATCGATTGGGAGACTACCAATGTAACCACATCTCTTACGCCACAGAGCACAAGGTCGACAGAGAAAACATTCACCATCCCAGTGACTGACATAAACAGCGGAATCCCAGGAATTGATGAGGTCATGAAAACAACCAAAATCATTATTGGGTGTTTTGTTGCCATCACACTCATGGCTGCCGTGATGCTGGTCATTTTCTACAAGATGAGGAAACAGCACCATCGGCAAAACCACCATGCTCCAACAAGGACTGTTGAAATCATTAACGTGGATGATGAGATCACTGGGGACACGCCCATGGAAAGCCACCTGCCCATGCCTGCGATTGAGCATGAGCACCTAAACCACTATAACTCTTACAAATCTCCCTTCAACCACACAACAACAGTAAACACAATAAATTCAATACACAGTTCAGTGCATGAACCGTTATTGATCCGAATGAACTCTAAAGACAATGTACAAGAGACTCAGATATAAAACATTTACAGTTACAGAAAACAAACAATCAAAAAAAGACAGTTTATTAAAAAAATGTCACAAATGACTGGGCTAAATCTACTGTTTCAAAAAAGTGTCTTTACAAACAAAAAACAAAAAGAAAAGAAATTTATTTATTAAAAATTCTATTGTGATCTAAAGCAGACAAAATTATGTGTATTCCTCAGAACCTGTTTTTGCTGCACTTACTATTTTCCCACACCTCCTCTCTCCCCTCCCCGATTGCCATATTTTTCATAGATATCAACTCCCCAAAGAACTGGTCTAGGAAATTTTGTAAGAATTCTGTTACACTTTGAGATTTTTATGGTGAATTCTAGTGGTGAGATCCAGTCTATTTTGTCTCTTACTCTTTCGATTTTTTCTTCATTATTTTCTTTTTCCTTCATGCCCTTATGAAATAGTCCAATGGGGAATGCAATATTAGAAATAGATTTTTAAGAAAGAATGAGGAAATCTGCAAGATCTTATATTTTTCATGTAATGACCTGTTCTGTATTTACGAGGAGGACATTCTGTGGAGAAAGAAAAAAAAAGTAAGCAAACAACAGATTAATTTACATATGAGCATCTATAAAACCCATGACTTTTAAAAAAAATCCTCTAGAACCAGAATTTGTAGTTCAAAAGCTTAAAATAAGATTATAAATAAAATATTGTTGGTTTTTCTGTACCTGGACATAGCTCATTTGTAATCTGGCTCAAATGTGAGAAACTTGAAGGTAATTAGATTCCTTGTTTTCTAAGAAAGATAATGCTACAGTACTCTTTCAATCACAGCATCATTTTCTACACGTCTCTGCTATTTTATTTGACTTAAGTTACACATCAGCATTCAAAGATGCTGAGATATTCTTGCCTTCTCAACAGGACTGCCCCTTATAAAGCTTTCAAATGAAAAGTTAACAGTTTACAAACTGAACGTAAGTCAAGAAGGGAGAAAATACCAGTATGATAAAATTTGCTTCCTTCTAAAGAAAACTCCACAGACCAGATGAAATAGTACCACAAAAGAGGAGTCATTCTTTTTTTTTTTATTGGATATTTTATTTACATTTCAGATGTAATCCCCTCCCCCTCCCCACCCAGGAACACCCTATCCCATCCCCCTCCTCCTGCTTCACCGAGGATATGCCCACATCTACCCTCCCACCCTCACCTCCCACCCACAATTTCCCCCACACTGGGGGGTCCAGCCTTCACTGGACCAAGGACTTCCTCACCCACCTATGCCTGACAGTGTCATCCACTGCCCCTACATATACAGATGGAGCCATGGATCCCTCCCCATATGCTCCCAGGCTGGTGGTTTAGACCCTGGGAGCTCTGGTTGGTTGGTATTGTTGCTCTCCTAACAGGGTCACAAGTTGAAAAAGAATTTTGAGTTCTACGTGTTAGCAAATTTAGTTCAATTCATTGAAAGTTATCATAGAGCTAAAATGAGCTAAATGGTCACTTGGGTGATGTGGATCCACAAATAAGCAAGGCCTGGTTCCTGCCATTGCATCATTTCCAAGGATTATTCTCACTGTATTACTAAGCACTAGCACTAATTTTTGGCTTTTAGGTAAATGGGAGTATCCTGGGCGTTCTAAATAGCAAAAATATTAAATTATTATAGAAGTCTCCTGAACTCATGGTTTCTGACATACTTAATGTGGAGCTACCCTTCTCCTTCAGAATATAGACTCCCACCTAAGGTGGATACACCTTTCTCCTTTAGAATACAGACTCCCAGGAGTGTAAGAAATCATCACAACAGAGTATCGTGGAATCATGGGCACATATGAACAGAAAACAAGGCTGATGATATAAATGATAATCTACCAAGGCTTTCTTTCAAGGAGCTGTGGAAATTTTAGCTAAAAGAACATAAATAGTTTCCAAAAAGAAAGAGAAACCACTGGTTGTGAATGTTTGCATTCTCTGCATATTTTAATATACTTTGAGTATGACTTTTATCTTTATGTCTGTGGAACATAATATAGACAGACAGGCAGACAGTAAGGTATACACACACACACACACACACACACACACACACACACACACACTTCTCACTGTCCTTGAAATTCATCTTCTCCATCAAACTGGGGATGTAACGAATGATTAAACTGAGGAAAACACATCTCCCAATGGATGAGCAGCTTGAACACTCACACTTAATTCTACAGTCTAGACCTCATCCCAGGTTTTGTGGTCTCCAGGTGTGAAAAACCAATCATTTCTAGCAGTGTAGGTAAGAAAAATCGCAGGTATAGTTAACAAATGGATGCAAGGACACAAAAGTTTTATTTCTTTTTTGATTACAAACTTGTTGGATTTTTTTCTTCTGTATCTCCTTCTTCCCTTTTTTGCAAACCTATTTTACATTTGCTATTACTGTTCAGTAGAAACGGGCAAAGGGAAAGCATATATTGACTGTCATTTATTGTGTATTGAGTACATTTATTGTTTCACGTGCATGGCATGGCAAGTGGGAGTGTACGTGTCCAACAGACACAGACACTCATGCACATACATATACAGTTTGAATATCAAACTAGATCTAGTACAAAGAAGGGAGACACTAAGGAGTGAGGACGTGGGTCTTGCCTCCTTGACTTAACTCTATCCTTGGTTTATGTTTACAAACCTATGCGTCTTGACTCTTTCAATTAAGCTTATGATTATTATAAGGATAGACCTGAAATGTCCTAACAACTGACTATCTGTCATGACTAAAAAGTCAGACAAATTGTACTAAATATAAAGAACTATAAGAGAACAAATAAGACAAGCAGACAAGCCTAAATCAGTGAGGACAAAATCCAAACTATGATATACATGCAACCAGAATATTACAGTAGCTCAAAAAAGTATATTTCAAAAATAAAATAAATTTATGGCAGGTTTAAATTAATCAAATTGAGTTACATATCAAATTCAAATGTTGCACAAGCAGTTCTTAATCCAGCTGTAAGGATTAAGAGTGGAGTGCTATAAAGTATATATATTTTAAAGGAAGCTGAAGTTGAGTCAAAATCTCTTGTGGTTAATTTTATGCACTTTTTTGCATTTGTTTACTAATGACTTGGTGTGGTAGATAAATATCCTGATTTCCTTGATGAGAAAAATCCTATATGATCACGTATATATTCTTGCATTCAAACAAATTCCATGTATATCCATCTTTCCATCTTACATAAAGGCAACTAAATGAGTGGGTAATTATGAAAAAAAGTACAAATCATACAACAAAAGTATGACAGCATGTAAAATTGTCTGTGTGTCTATGTGTGTGTGTTGGGGGTCATATTTTCACAGAAATTTCTGAGAAATAGATTATTTACTGGTAATCAAATTTTAATTCTTGACTATGATCAGTATCTCAAATTCTTCACCACTTGCATAGAATGTATATAGATGCATATACCTTGTTAAAACGTTGGTAGAATTTGGATATCTCAGACACATAGATTCTAGTATAACTTTAATAACTTTCTCTCATGTCCCAGTATTCTGGGATCTACTATCTTTATTTCTTGATAGTAATTTTACTGATACAAGTCACTGGAACCCGAAACAGAGATGAGTGAGGAAGGAAAACATTGCTACTCCATGATTATTTTCATCCTTATAGTCAGAGAATCAAAAATTTGGATGATATTTAAGATATTTAGACTATAACATTATGAATAAAGTCATACTGGGATAGGACAAAAGAAGTGTTAATACCTTGTACTGTGGAAAGTAATAAAACATTTTAATAGCAGGACTTAAAGTCATATTTGAGACATGTTAGGTAGTGACTTTAGAATGCACAACCTTTCCAAGGTACATATTATCCAAAGCAGGAAAAAACAAACAACAAAAACAACTCCCCATTCTGATTTCTTTCAGAATAACCTTAATGTTATTTAGATGAATGGAAACCTTAGACAAATGTCTGCAAACATACATTCTAAAGCAAGGCAGTCTTTAAACATTACATTCAGTTACTACTTGCTTCATCCTAACTGTTTCAGCAAGAACTCTCAAGTTAATTCTCTAATTCCATAGCACTGACATAAAAAAAAGGAATGTCTAGGATATGAGTAGTTTTCCTGTAGGAAACCAATTATTTCTCTTAAAACACAGTACCAGAGTGTCCAATCTCTGAAAAAAAATAATTGACCTGCTTCTCACAGTATATACACCTCATCATTTGATTAGAATGTGATTTCTGCACGCAGATACTCTTGCAGAAAAAACATTGAAAAGTCTAATGGTTTTCTTCCCCAAACTTAGATACCTTCTATTTCTCTTACTTTAATAAGATAAAATAAGGATTGCTTTGTGCTCTCTGTTGGGGATTGAAGCAGCTGTGACACTGAAGTTTTTCGATATTCTACCAAGATAAAGAAAGAGATACATCTGGCAGTGCATGAGACAAAAGACATTTTCTAAAATTAATATAGCATACTGTCAATCAGGACCTAAATATAGATAATGAATGAAGCATTCTCACAACGTGTGCCAGTTCATACCATATTATTTCCTAGGAAAAGCTGCCAAAACTTCTGAGACTTCAACTTTTCATACCATTGAGAAATGCATATAAACTATATTTAAAATTGTATAGTTCAATTTTACAGCAATTGTTCAGCAGTAGTAACAAAACTGCTCACTTATCTTTGCTCAGAATGAATTCAAAAGAAGGGTAAGATGTTCTCCTGAAGTTATTTTGATGAAAGTTTTTAGTATTAAAACATTGTTTGGAAAAATTTGTTATGTGAACTAAATAATCCATATGTCCTCTACACAAAATGCATAAAGCAAAGACCCTGGAATATCAAATAGTAAAAAAGAAATCTTATATTTTCATATTTAAACCAATAATTTATTTTTTCCAGTCATTAATAGTTTATTCATAACATATGATAGGAAATTCAGCATTTTACCCTTGCAAGTGCCACCAATTCTGTCTTTATTTGATTGCCAGAAGTGGTATATTTATTTTATTTGTATTGGGTAAACTACTTTCCAGGTGGTTTTCTTTTTTTTTTAACAATCTAGTCTCAGTGGAGAATTTGAAACTCAGTCTGATTTATGATTTCTGACACGAAAAACTTTCTAACACATTCATTTAATTCAAGCATGTTTTTGATATCATGATGGAAATCTATCTAATCATTACTTCCTTACCTGTGGATATAACAAGACTGAACAAAAAAAGACAAGACAATAAAGAAAATATTATTTGACAACTGGATAATCTTATTTATCCAGACCTAAGCCAACCATTAATAAACAGTAAAAACAAGAAATCTAGTAACAGATTTTCAAGTACATCTCCTAGTTTTGTAACTTGGATGAGTTCTCTATGAGAAATATAGATGAAGAAGAATAGGGAAAAATGACAGAAATATAGATGAAATAAAAGCATAAATGATACTAATATCCTACTCACTGTATTAAAGTATAAACAAAGTACTATTATATACTTTTTGAAATACATTCCTTGTGCTTAGGTCTATAAAACTTTTAAACAAATAATTTTTAATACTGGGGACATGGGAATTTTTGGTAATGTAATAATTATAAAAATTGTATCTTAATGAAATTTGTACAATGCCTTCAAGGCAATATTGTCATTTCTAGTTTTAAATTTTAAGTGTTACACAAGGAGAGAGAGCAGGGTAATACAAGT